GATTTTTATTGAACTGGATCCACATTCTCAGAGTCTGACCCACAGTTGGATTAATAATCAGTCTGTTGGCATGCAGAGAGAGAGTTGACCCTTGCAGTGTCGGGAGCGAGATATTTTGAGGCAACTTCAATCTGATTTGTGGCCCTGTGCTGCGTGTAATCCCCTCTCTGTTTCCCCACCTTTCCTGTCAATCTTCAGTCTCGTCCTTGCCAATAAAAGGCTTAAAACTCCCCAAAAACATATATATAACAAAAGGTTTTTGTGTTTGTTTGGCTCACACACCAAGAAAGGTAAACTGATTAGTATGTCTGAGTATTATTATTTCTAGCTCATTCTTGTGTAATTTTAACTAAGATCTAAATTGATTTATAAATGTGACATTCACATTGATGGCTGCATCATTTATTATTTATTCAAATGTGGTTCCTGATGCAAAGGTGTTGCAAGTATTCTGTTTAAAACCACAAGCAATTATAAAATTTCTGTTTAATTTCTCTCTGATGTCTTTCTGATGATGTAAAGCAGCGTTGTTGCTTCCTCTTCTTCCGTACATGTGGTTGGTTGACAGTGAGTATATTAAGACCGGTGTGTGTTTCACACTCTTCACTTCATCCGCTATGGACAAAGGTGTGCTGCTGGTCCTGTTGTGTCTGCAGGTTTTCCTGCTCATCACTACCTTCACTTCTACTGATGCAGCCGCTCTGGTGATAGATGATGGACTTCCTCCTGATCAGGTAAGAAGATCCACTGCTGGTCACTGACTGCAAGAAGCTTTTCTTTTTTGCAAGAAGGTTCTTGATCCACATGTTTTCTTATTGGATTGTTTGAGTGTAAATGTCAAAAAGCAACCTGTAAAACTTACAATTTTGGTTCTGTTTAAATGTTTCAGTGATTCTATTATTAATTAGGAAATTACAAAGCAGGAGAAGGTGGTTTTCTGTGTATAATAATTCTTTGTTTGTTTAAATTTTGTTATAGGAGGGAACTGCAGAAAAAGGAATGAAGAAGACATTTCGGAGCTGTAGGGGAAGAATAGGAGCATGTGGTCCTTTCATACGGGTAAGCTTGCTTCACCTTGAGTGAAATTGTGATATCTCAGTGTAGGTTGGGTAAGGGACATTGGACCAACTTTACAGGAAAGCCAAAACAAAAAAAAACACTGTGTTATGTTTGATGAAATTCAATCTTTGATATTGAAAACTTCATTAATATATGAATGGAAATACTTAACAAGCAATATTTTGACTTTTAAGTGCACTTCAACTCAAATAATTCAGTGTGTTCAGTTCTTTTGCTTTTTGATAAATAACTCTGGATTGGTTTATAATTCACACAAGTCTTTTTGATAGATACATAGGCCGTACTACCTCATTTTTAACCAAAATGTCACTTACATCCTTCTGGTTCCCACCGTGATCACTAAAATGGTAGATAACAGTTGGTACATTGGTTTGTTATTTTAATTACAGTACATCTCTCTCTCTCTCTCTCTCTCTCTCTTTGTTTTTCCCTCCAAGCCCAAGCCCAGATTACATGTTAAGAAAACGGACAGCGCGCCAACATGGTAAAAACAGCCAATTTCACTGGTGCAAAAACAGAAGTTTGAAACAAGCTTTTCCAGAACGACAACGCTATGTTTCAGACTGGAAATGAATATCGACTGTATGCTGTAGTGCTTATCAAGTGTGCATTAATGTGTTTATTTGCTAAATAAAAACATATTTTTTTACCATGAAGGATTTTCTGTGTGGTTAATGGTTAATATCTGTTAAATGTACGTATTTCTCAACAAGTTACTACTTCGTTTTGATGTTGGCTGGCTCTGTGAACGCTGACTTGAAGCATGAGGCAAAAATTATGTGTTTTGACAGAACCAAGTTGTTTCCAGTCTTTATGTTAAGCTAAGTTAACGTCTCCTAGTTGTAACTTAATATTTAATGTACAGATACAAGAGTGGTGTCAATCTTCTTATCTAACTTGCAGCTAAAATTAAATAAGTATAATAGTGTCATATCCTAAACCTGACATAGGGTACTTAAACTGTTCGGGCAGTATCTGGCAATACCAGGTAAAATATGGTTGTTGTTTTTTTAACCACAAATGGATGGAGGTTTTGCACATATTACAACATAATGAAAAGTAGGTGTTGGTCAGTTTCAAAACAAAGTATGTGATAGAAAGGAAGAGAAAGACAGATGGCTGTTTTATGTATCTTGTATTTAATCCTCTAAATTGCTTAATTTCTGTCACACTTCCTCATTGTTGTTCTATGTATTCCATTCACTTGGACTGCCATGTATCTACAGTAGCCCAGAACAGACAAAATACAAATGCCAGCAGTATTCAGTTAGATTAGTTGCAATCTTCTACACACCGGTCCTTTAATGTAACTAAGTCAATAAATAGTTTTCACTTCTATAAAAACCTCCAAAGACTTGAGTTGTTTTCATGTTATTGTGGAGATTTGGTTCCTTAAAAATCCCCTCTGACGTGTTTCCTGATTATGTAAAGTGGTGGTATCCTGTTGCCTTCTGTGGTTGGTTGGGCAGAGAGTATATTAGGACATTGTTTGTTTCACACTCCTTCACTTCAATCAGTCATGGAGAAAACTGTGCTGGTCCTGTTGTGTCTGCAGGCTTTCCTGCTCACCACTGCCTTTGCACCCGGATGCAACCACTCTGGTAAAAGATGATCAAACTGCCCCTTTGATCAGGTGAGAATATCCACCGCAGGTCAGGAGACTGGAGAAAGTGGTTTTCCATGTATAATAAGGCTTTCTGTTTATTGTTTATTCTCTTTTAGTTTCAGGGAAGAAAGCCAGTGAATTCGAGAATTGGAACGGCTGCTGGGGAAGACCAGGAGCATGTGGGCCGTATACCCGTAAGTTTTATTTTCAGCTGAATGTTGATATCAATGTACTCAAAATTAAAAAGGTTAGATAACATTTGTTGCACCTAGTTTTATAAATTTAAATTACTGTACCTCTCTCTCTCTCTCTCCTACTGTTTA